AAATCTTGATATTTTAAATACTAAAATATTCTTATTTTTTAATATCTTGATATGTTTATGCCTGTACTTATTAATTAATTAGGAAGTTATTTAGATGTGTGAAATAATCTATCTCCATACTAATAGTAATTCATAATGGTACATTGCAGTATATATACATATGTATCAACCAGCTTTAAATTTTTATTTAATAATTATTTTTAAAAGAAAAATAGAAGAGTTGACAAATTCAAATCAAGTTAGGGATAAGTTTTCCCTTGTTTAGTGAGCAACGTGGCATGATTGGTATGTTATGCCTAACAACAATAAGATGGGTTGACCCTACCACTTTGAGTACATCAGTACCTGCCAAACGTAGAAAAAAAAATGTAGTATTAAGATAAACAAGCAATTTTTAAGGAGTACTTATACCACACTCATAAAATCAAAGTCAATAACCCCGATGTTTGAATTTATTACTAAAAAAAGTGTCATTTTATTTAATTTTTAAAACTAATAAATAAAAAAAATTAATTTTTTTAAATGCATCTTATTGATATTGGAGATATATACTTAAAATCGTTTAAAAAATTATTAATTTTGAAGTGCATAAAACTAATGGGGAATACTAATCGTAGATATTTAAAAATATTAAAATAAATGATATGATATGGAGGAGTATAATTTATAAAAAAAAAAGTTTTTTTATAAGTCAACTAAGTATTAAAAGTATAATCTAATTTATAAATTTATTAAAATATCTTTAATGAAATTATTTTTTTGTTTTTTATTAATTAAAGGTGATTCAATATCTGATCTACGTAATCTGATTTATAAAATTCAGAATCCCTTATTTCATTATTTTATTTTAATTGTTGTGTCACAAACAGCTATTTTATATTTCATTATTTCATTATTAATTGTTTAATTGTTGCGCGCGTAACAAACAGCTATTGAAACCACGCTGTGGTCGATCGAGTGGGGAATCGCTGAGCTGGTAAACCACCCCAACATCCAGAAGAAGCTCCGGGATGAGCTGGACTCCGTACTGGGTGTGGGCCACCAAATCACAGAGCCGGACACCTACAAGCTTCCCTACCTTCAGGCTGTAATCAAGGAGACTCTGAGACTCCGCATGGCCATCCCACTGCTGGTGCCACACATGAACCTCCACGATGCAAAGCTGGGCGGCTATGACATCCCTGCAGAGAGCAAAATATTGGTGAACGCCTGGTGCCTTGCCAACAATCCGGCTCATTGGAAGAATCCTCAGGAGTTCAGGCCAGAGAGGTTCTTGGAAGAAGAGTCAAAGGTGGAGGCGAACGGAAATGACTTCCGCTACCTCCCATTCGGTGTTGGAAGGAGGAGCTGCCCCGGAATCATCCTGGCACTTCCCATCCTAGGTATCACCATCGGTCGTTTGGTGCAAAACTTCGAGCTGTTGCCTCCACCGGGACAGCAGAAGCTCGATACCAGCGAGAAGGGAGGACAATTCAGTTTGCACATTTTGAAGCATTCCACCATTGTGGCAAAGCCAAGGTCATTTTAAAAAGGAAAAACAGAAAGCAAATTCATCAGTTTGTATTGGATTACTGCATGCTTATGAGACTTAATCTCCTTGCAAGGTTTGACCATGTGTAAATTTGCCATTAATAAATAAGTTTTGCGTTTTGGATTGAATTTTAGATATCAATTCTATACATTATACTCTTACCAAATCTCAATTACTACTGCTTCAAAATTACTAGTGCATGTAAGTGGAGTGCATGTAAGTGAAGTCAATCGGCAAAAAAAAGAGAAAAGAAAGTAGGGGAAATTTCTACAGTTTTGATACTACACATAGTTTTGCTATTTTGTCCAATCTGTAAAATTTTACTGTTGGATTGAGCTGAAATTTTATTTAAATGTTCAAGAGACATTAATATACATTTTGAACGGTTAGTTTTTCATTTTAAACTTTGTAGGTTTTGATTTTGTATCCAGAACAGTAACTAATTTCTAGTAATCTTTTTTTTTTTTTTTTAATCCCATTTTCTTTGTTGGTTTGTGACTTGCTATTCCTCTTATTTGGTGTTGAGTTTTTCACAAACCCAAGTGTTAAAGAACTTGTTTTGCTTCAATAGGTAGAAAGAGAGAGAAGAAGAGAGGGATGGGGAATAAAGTTGAGAAATTGGTGTTGAACGGTTCAAGAGGAAGATGGAGAGACAAGAAGAAAAAAAGGATATTGTAGAGAAAAAAATGGTTTTAAGGATAAATTTATAATTTTATTTTTATAATTATTTGGTTTGTAGAGTGTGCACTCATCGGGTGTCGAACCGGTGGGTACATGAATTATTATCCAATAATATAATATTTCATAATTTTTATTGAGAAAATATATGAATTTCAATAAATGGTTTATTTTGATAGTACCATTCACATCAACTCACGTTCTCTGGAATAATTACTCATAAATAATGTAACATTTTGGAATCCTTATTAAAAGATTAACCGATCTTCCACTGAAACAAATTTCTTAATATCCCAAAAATATTGAGTGATAGAAATCATTAGTTCTAATAAATAAATTCTTGATATTCATATTAATCATAAAATATTATTAGGATTATTGTCTATATATATGGTTCTATAATTCCTTTTAACCATATCTTTTATAATTTTTATAATGATAATTCTTTAATTTATGAATTGAGAGAATTTTAAAATTTCTTGAAAGGACTTTCAATATTAAATGGTGCCCTTACTTTAATGCTCAAAGAAAATCATATGAGATTATTTTAGTATCTTAAATAAATTAAGATACACAAATTCTAAAATTATTAAAATTTAGATACTAAAATTTTTAAATATTTAAGTTTAAGAATTAAAAATTTTATAATATAAAGTGAGAAATTAAAACATTTAAATTTATTAAGTTGAGATGCTAAAGATTGTTTTAGCCCTCCCTTGCCACCTAAACACATTGCACGCCACCTGAACACATGGCACGACACCACATCAACCCCACATTACTTGTCTGTAAATGCACCCACCTCCATTCCTCAAGATTCAGTAGTACTCCTACTATTACACTTCGCTCCTGAGAATTTCGCCAGACCAAAATGGATCTCCTCCTCCTGGAGAAGAGCCTTCTAGCCCTCTTTTTCG